TCTTGGCTGTTTCCATAACTTGGCTATTGTGAATAGTGCCGCAATAAACATGGATGTGCAGGTGCCTCTGGAGTAACAGTCTTTTGGGTATATCTTGGGGAAAATTTTTAAGGGAGAGAGACCAGTCAGTCTAAGGGATCCATCTCTTGCCATGTATTTCCATTAATTATTAACTCAGTCTCATTTTATCTATATTCTGTTTCTCCCATCTGTGTACATAGATACACGGGGCAATTTTAAAACAAACCTCAGTGATTGTAGTTCATGTGCTAAAGTCTTGATGAAGGGCCATTTACTTCATGAGTAGAAATGGATGATATTTTTGAAAATATACTGAGCCATTCCATTTTTTCAGTTTCCTTAATTTTAACAAAATTCTCTGTATTAGAAGTATTAAACATTAATATTATTAATGTTAGAATAAAATTTTAAATCCTAATGTTATTTCATGTAAATAAAATTATCGGAAGGCTATATGGTCATTAAAAGTGCTCCAAGACCTGCTTCCTCAGGGATGAATTTATTCACAAAACAAACTCTGAACTGTCAAGCAATTTCATGAAGATTTCAATTCTGTGGTAAGATTTAGCCAAGGCACAAAATATTAGAGGATCTAGGAACAGGTGGTCCTTGCTAGCCCTTCATCACTTTCCTCTCTCCAGACATCAGCTACAGTTCCATGGGAGCCTGTAGAATTCACAGAGAAATAACTTTGTTGTCCTGACTCCTGCTGACTTCTAGGGCACTTGCTAGAAGTACTGTTTGGAAACCCTCCTAAAATGGACCCATTTCATTTGCATATGCTACAGACATCACTCGAAGACTCTGAAGACCATTCCATTATTTTATAGATTTTTAGTTTGTCTCACTGTCTAGTCATGTGAAAAAATGTGTTGGTCTTGCTCACCTTAGTAGCCTCAGTGCCCACCCAGGGTTGACATGTCGTGGGCTCTCAGTAAACATTTGTTGAATGAGTAAATGAGAGAAAAAAAAAGAATGAAAAAGGTAAGTATTTGAAAGAATAAATGGTAGCTCATATCTACAGTTGTTTGTAAATAATAGGTGATATAAGCTACATTTGCTTATAAAAATTATGGCATTAGTTAGGATTCTACCAAAGGCAAAAATGTGTTCTGAGATTTGTTATCAGAATGGAATGAGTTTGAATTATTATGGCATGCCTTTTAATACATAGTTAGCTCTAGTTTACTGCTACATTATTATTTTAGTTATAAGCTACTAAATTGTATGCTTTATGTAAACCAAGTAAATTTCCTGTTCTACATCTTACCCACTCTCAGAATACACTAAACAACTGTATCCTATTTTGAACTGTGTAGAACACTGAGTTATACTGGCATTTTGTGTGGTAGGCCCCACTTTACTTTTACCTCCAGTACAGCGCACAGCACCCAGAGTGCTGATGGACATCGTTTATGCTCCAGGCTTTTCAGTGGAATTTCCCTACACTGTGGTTACTCTTTGCATTAGTTTTCCCATTGCTGCTATAACAAGTTACCACGAACATAGCAACTTAACACAAATTTTTATCTTAGTTTTGTGAGTCAGATGTTGGGATTGGCTTGCTTGGTTTCTTTGCTTTGGATTTTATAAGGTTGGGCTCAAGGTGTTAGCTGACTGGACTCTTACTTGGAGGCTCTGGGCAGAATCTACTTTCAAGTTGATGCAGGTGGTTTGCAGAATTCATTTGAGATTCTGGGACTGGTGTCCTTGTTATCTTGTTGGCTGGCAGCTGGTAGTCAATCTTAGCTTAAAGAGCCTTCTAACTAGTTTTCTACATCTGAGAGCCAGCAGTGATGCAGTAAATCCTTCTCTTGGAATCTCTCTCATTTCCTTTCTACCACATCTCTTTCTTTCTTCCTCTGCCACAGCTCTCTGACTCCAGCTGGAAAGATTGCTCTGCATTTAGGGCTCATGTGATTAGATTTTGTTCATCCACATTCTCTAGGGCATTCTCCTGATTTTTAAGTCCACAGCTTTAACGGTGTCTGCACAGGCTCTGTGGCCATGTACCACAACGTGTTCAAGGGACCCAGGGATTGGGCATAGACATCTTTGGGGTGCCATTCCACCTACACATTTTGACTTCACAGTTTTCTCTGCACAGTTGGCCCTGGTTGATGGGCCATTAGCAAGCTACAGGGATAGGTTTGGAGGCTAAGAAATTTAAATGTTTTGTTACCCTCTTGAAACTGTCTTATCTGTCTGAGTCACTGGCTCTCCTTTCTTCTGTCAGCATATGTTGCGCTGGCTGCTCTTGCTGTCACTTCTAATTGCTTATGCTTCTGATCTTACCACCCGCTTCTGCCATTTCTGTGTTGTCCTTTTCTCTTTTTCACTCCTCTTTCCTTTTCTTTTCACTTCTCTGTTTCTTAGAAGTTTGGTTTTTATAGCTGGTGCCAATCACTGTGAAGATTCTTTCTTTTTCTGATTAATGGGCCAACCGTGATTCATTTTTGCCTATGTTTTTCTGACTTTTTGAAGAGTTGTATCTTAGATGCCCTTGCCCACCCATAACTAACCAGCTGACCTTAAACCTTCAGTGTTTACTGCTCTTTAGCCTATTTAACTCTCTGCCAGATGAGTAGATAAATGAAGCATTGCAATATTTTTGCTTTGGTCAAGAATCAATTTCTCCTCCTTTATATTCATTATCTCTCTGGCTCTCAAACACTATATACAAATAAGTGTGTATGTATCTATAGGCAGGTTGCATAGTTGCCACTTTTCCTCTTGCCTTATATGTGTTACTTACATTTAGCCAACAGAAGAGAAAGAAAGTTTTTAAAGTCCAAAACTTAAGAAGCATTGTATCTTCAAATACTGTTTCTGTGCAGACGTCTTTTTTTTTTTCATTTTTATTTTTAGCATACACAAAGAAATACCATTATTTTCCATGATCGACTATGCCATTATATGAAACTGCCAATGCTTATTTAATAAATCATCCATTGATGAACACTGAGAGCGTTAGCATTTATCACACATATAAGTCGTGCCATTTTGAACATCTGTGCCCAAATCCATGATTATTTCATTTGGATAAATTCTTGGAAGAGCAATTTATAGAATTAAACTATATGTACGTTTTTGATGCTCCTGATAATATTGCCAAATTGCTGTCTACCAATTAGCTAGATTGTCTCTCACGCAAATTATGACAGTGCATCTTTTCTTCTTCCTGTAGAAAATTTTATGCTTTTTAAGATACTATGAGTCACACTGAAATATCATAATCCCAAACTTGTTTATATGCCTGTTACTATTTTAAAGGGTCTCAGCCTCACAAATAGAAGAGAGAATTTGTTCCCCTGTTTTGTTATTTAACGCTTAGGAAATTTATAAGCTAGAAAAGATTAGAATTTAGGTTCCATTCATGTTGATTTTATATTACTTTTTTATTAAAAATTCATTAGAAAATAATTTTTACACCCTTAATTTGAAACTGAGAAAACTGGAGATCCAACAGTGTTATTTGAGATGGCCATGACCAAATGTTTAAAAGGAAAGTTGGCCCACAGCAGTCTAATGGTTGTTTATTATAGACTCATATTTTTAAAATTTTAATTTTTGGTGTTTATATTTAATTTGCATATAATTAGGGAAAGAGTTCTTACTCTCTAATGTTAAACATGTTTATTGTTTTATCTTTCAAGGGGAAAATCCTCCATCATACCCAGAATGATCATTTCCAGAACGATGGAATTGGTAAGTAGAAAAATTGGTCTTATGAAAATTTGCCTTTATTATTTAAGGGATTTACCTCTCTAGGCCTGGCATGGTTTTGTACACCTGTAAATCCCAGCAGTTGGGAGGTGGAGGCAGAAGGATCATGAGTTTGAGGCCAGCCTGGGCTACTAGACCCTATATCAAAATACAAAAAAAAGAAAAAGAAAAGAGAGAGAGATTAACTCCAAATTTCAGCAAGATGAAAAGAGGTCTTGGTGTTGTCCATCACCCCAACCCCTTCCCCCCTTGCATATGTGCAATCAGGGACACTTTTTTTTGTGTGTCTGTTTTCTTTTGGCAGTATTGGGGTTTGAACTCAGAGCTTCATGCTTGCTAGGCAAGCACTTTACTACTTGAGCCACCCTGCCAACCCATGGACAGTCACTTTGGAACTTCAGTTAGTTCTTTTATGTCAGTGTGTTGATACGTCATTTCTGAAAAGTGGTCATTTTGTAAGGTACCAGCGCGCACACACGCACATACACAGGTTTTGAGGGGAAACATTTAAGCCTTTTGTGGGAACATAAGTACTAAGAAAATATTTCTGTCCTATAAATGTTAGGTCATACAGATTTCAACAGAAAGTTTATTTAAATGGTTTTAAATGTTGCAGAATTATCCTTTTAAATTTTGTATGGGGCTGTGTAACAGTTCCAAGTCAAAACTTGATTCTGAATATGTTTTCCTAGTCTTAAAGACTTTTTACTAGGAGTGAGTGTGCACACTTGCTATTCTCTTAACCGACACATTTCCAGCTCCTCAGAAACTAAAATTAAGCTAGTTAATAATAAAAGAAATACTTTGTACAGATGAAGATGATTTTAGAAAACATAAAATGGTTACGCTTTTTAATACATTTTACTCTTCCACACCAATAGTTCTTTGATTGTAAGATACTTTGTGGCATACTTGGGAAACATATAGCTGGTAGATGATTTAAACTATTGTGTCTAGGTGAGTATGTATAGCTATTGAGTATATCCTTTTTTCTGTTTATTTTTCAGTTCAGCCCAATCCTTCCGTACTTATTGGCAATCCTATTAGAGCATATACTCCTCCACCCCCTCTTGGACCTCACCCAAATTTGGGGAAATCTCCAAGCCCTGTTCAAAGAATAGATCCTCACACTGGGACGAGTATTCTCTATGTACCTGCTGTTTACGGAGGGAATGTAGTTATGTCGGTGCCTTTACCTGTAAGTTGATGTTTGAAAAACTTTTCACTAAATAAAGTAAATAGGTTTCACTTATACAGTGATGATCCCATATAGCGTTTTACCACTCTTTTTTTTGAGGGGGGGGGGCGGGAAGGGATGGTGCTGAAAATTAAACCAAGGCCCTCATACATGTTAGGCAAGCAATGTACCGCTGAGTTACACCCCTAACTCCCAAAGTGTTTTTAAAACTTTTCAATGTCTATAAGCTCCTTTAAAAGTAACTCTTAATCTTTAACTGTTAAATTTTGATATGACCAAAAAAATATGTATTGTTACTTAAACTTTGTTAATTGATTTATCAGAGACTATGAAGAAGTCTGTGAATTAGATGTCTTGCTTTAGAAGCCTCTGTATTCCTCTGAAATATTTTTTTCTAAGGAAAATCGGGCTAAAAATTAGCTAATAAGCTGCTTTCTTGTTTTGTAAAGAGATGTTTTTATTTTGTTTTGTGCTCTGTGTTCTTATCTAAATCACGAGCTCTTCTTATGAATAGTTCTTTGGAGGAGGCAGAAAGGCCTTAGTAGTCTAGTTCTTGTGGACCTGAATTTTTGTGAGAAATATCAAGTATTATGAAACATGACTGCTACTTAAAAACATTGGTGTATCCTTTCTAAGACTGTAGCTTTTTGGAGGGCTTTCATTTTATGTATAAATTTTCATTTCCTTTAAAGTTTTTGAACATTTTGCTAATTTTGTCAGTTTGCAGTTTTATCCCAGGAAATAAATTTTTTCATTTAAGTGATGTACTGTAATTTCAGGCAATGTTGATCATTCCCAGAGATCTTTGGCACCCCTGCCCATGCCCCCAAAGAGAAAACTGTTTAATTGCAAATGTTCTTTATCCATATTGGTCTGATAGTTCACAACAGTGGCAACCAAGGAGAGTAACTGTCTGTAAGAGCTTGTACTTCATGCCCTCCGCGTTAGACTTTAGCTGAGTTCTTTCCTCTCAGACAGCCTGGCAATATTATGCATCATTGGCTTCAAATAGCAAGTCTGTTAGGATTTATATCTCACTTTACTGGGTCAAAGAAACTTACTGCATAAGATTTCTAAGAGTCTGCATCTAGCAGTTGTATTATGATAAAAATAACAGGGGCAGTAGTTCAGTCATTGTATCTATGCCTTTTATGATCATGTTTCAGAAATTATGGATCTATACACACCTGAACAAGTTTTCTGTTTCTGTATTTTTAAGATGGAGTTGAATTAATCACAAGCATTAGTTAATGACCTGTTTGAATTTTATGTTCAGTAAATGAACATTTGTATAAAGTTGGAATCTACCTTTTGAGTTGAGACATCTTAGATAATCATCTTCCCTTTCTGTTCTCTTATTCCTCCTATTAAACTATATAACTATGCAGTTATATATATATATAGTTACATAACTATGCAGTTATGACTTAAAAATAATTTTCCTGGTAATCTGTGACATGTACATTTATATTGAAGGGAAATGATTCAAGGCTATAAAATGATTTAATGCCTCAAGGAATAATTACCAATTTTAAGTCCTCAATTTCTTCCTCACTCAAAAAATGATCCATTTTTCCTTACACATTAAAGATTCAGGGGGCTAGTTTTTGACCAGTTAAGACATAGCAATGATTCTACGAATTGTTACTATTAAGCATCATTGACTTTGTAGTTATTCATTTTGATAAAATTATTATGTGTGTGTGTCTGTGTTTCCCTAATCAATGACACTATTGCAGTTTGCATTCCAAAATACACTTAATGCAATTATTTTATTTCTTGTAATAACCTAGGTACCATGGACAGGATACCAGGGTAGGTTTGCAGTTGATCCTCGAATTATTACACATCAGGCAGCGATGGCCTACAATATGAACCTGTTACAGACACATGGACGGGGGTCTCCTATACCTTACGGCCTTGGACATCACCCATCTGTCAGCATAGGGCAGCCACAGAATCAACATTCAGAGAAGGATCAACATGAGCAAAATCGAAATGGTAGGTTGCTGTGCTATACTCCTTTCCCTAAAGTAATGATTTGTAGCAATCTGTCCACAGTGTGTTAACTTTTAGAGAGAACCTGGTAGAAAACTGTGGTTCCTCTCTTCAAATGGCACAAAGATGTACACAGACCCAAACTTGGTATTTAACTTCAGTCTGTTAGGATAAATCCTACTTCTTATGATTGTTTTCACTATTCCTGAAATATATTAAATTTTAATATTTGAAATGCTTTAAGAGATGATTATTTAAAAGTGAGATAAAAAGTCCTCTCCTGTTAGACGTTTTAGTTAACACATATTCTTGGGCATATTAAGCATTCGTATTATTGTGGGATAGTTGATGATAGTTACTTTTTATGCAAATTCACAATTATAAATAAGAAAAAATTAGTGCTTTTTAAAGTTTATGGAAGTATAATTATGTACAATAAAATTGACCATTTTAAAATATACAGTTTCTGGGGGCAGGGGGAGATAAAGGAGAATGATGGAGGGGATGAAATCAACTATGCTATATTGAAAGAACTTTGGTAAATGGTATCCCCAGTACCACAATAATTAATAAATAAATAAATAAAATGTACAGTTTCAACAAATAGAGTTGTTAACTATCACCAAAATCAAGATGCAGGTTATTTACATTGCCTCCAGAAGTTTCCTCTTGTTCGTTTGTATTCAGTCCCATCCTCTAACTGCAACAAAACTAATCCCACTTTTTGCCCCATACTTCTGTATACTCTACACTATATACTAAAGTATATAGTTCTTTGTGCCTTAATACTTTTGTTCACTTAATACTTTTGTTAATTTAATACTTTTGGTATTTGTCAGATTGCATGTGTCAGTTTGTCCTTTTTCATGTTGATTAGTGTTCTCTTATGGATGTACCACAATGTGTTTATCCATCCATCAATTGATGGACAGGTTAATTATGTCCTATTTTTGGTTTTTCTGAATGAAGCTGCTAAGAACATATGTTTTGATTTATCTTGGGTAAATACCTAGGAGTGAGATTGCGGAGCATATTATAAATATATATGTAGCTTCATAAGAAACGTGTATTATTTTCCAAAGTGGTTGAACTGGTTTTCATTTCCTCTAGTAGTTTCTGAGATTTCCTGTTGTTTCACATTCTTATTAGCAATTGATATATGCATTCTTTTAAATTTTACCCTTACTAGTGAGTTTCTGATGTCATGTAATTGTCCCTAATAACTAATAACACTGAATATCTTTTCATTCTGTTTATTTTCTGTGTGTATGTTCTTTCATGAAACGTTTTTCATCCCCCTTGCGGCCTCCCCCCCCCCCCC